ACAGAAATACGCGAAAAATATTCTGCGCTCTGGGAAATTGCCTGAAGATTTTTTACATACCTAAAAATTTTAGTGTTGTTACAAATTCATTAATAGGAAAAGGAGCAAATTGAATTCTGCAGACCGACGAGTTTGGCGCTTATTCCTTACAAAACTAAATCCATATAATGATTAGTTGCTGTCAACCCATCTAGTGCATCCCTTCAAATAACAATCTGATTTATTACATACATTATTTTTTGCACTATTGATTTTGCACTGCCGAAAAGTTACCTTATCTGTTATAAATTAAATTTGTAATCATGTAAATAGAATAGTAAGAAAATATTTCTCTTTCCACTTTCACCACTGCAAAAAATTGTACCATTAGCTCTAATCTTGACACTTCTTGACAAGATTTTGGAATGTAACAGAGGTCGACCGAAACCAACAAGATTTTCTAAGCGATCTTTGAGAAAGAAAGGTTTGGCAACCACTGGTCTAGAGTTTCAATTAAACTACAGAGTCCGTCAGAAAGAACGCATGTTTTTCGAATGGGTACTACGAGAGGACTGGTCCCGGGTCGGTGAGAAAGGGCATGTTGGCTATACTACAACTATTTAAAACTGTAATGATTCATACGCGTGAACAACACGTGATCAGAGCTCGATCCCGGCTTCCTTCCAGTACAGCCGTTTAGCGTAAGACATATGTCGTTTCTGTGGCTTTGCGGTGGTCAACAGCACAGACAGAGATGGAAATAATGGCTGATTGCTCTCCGCCGGTAGAACCAATGAAATCAAAGACGCGCCTCGACCGGCAGACTCTTAGGGCTCTTGCACACGAACGTGCGATCCGCCGACCGGCTGTTCCACCGACCGGCAAGAAAATCGGAAGATATTATTTTACCCACATTCGAATACAACTTAACACACTTGCCGGTAGCGGCTATTCTGCCGACCGGCCGCCGTTCATATTAAAATTTGGACGGCGAACACACGGCTGCCGGTTGGTAAATTAACCGGCGCGTTCATTTCAATGCATGCAAGTTTATGCCTGTTGACACACGAACGGGGATTCTACTGTCGCCGTGGTACAGAGTCGTAGTTTCATTTCCGTTTAGACAGTGTAGTCATGAGGTGCGAAATGGAAAATTTAGATATTGAGGCATTTATTTCTATGGTGGAAGAAAGGCCCGTGATATGGGACAAGACAAGAGAGGATTTTAAGGATAGGAATAAAACTAAAGCCGCCTGTAAGAAATCATCGATACATTTATTTATGAAAACCTGAACGAAGCAGAAAAAGCCGAAATAGGTATGTAACTATGTAAGATAAGAAACAATATGAACTATATTTTACTTAATTGCTACGGTACAGATCCTTCATTACTATTGAAATATTTTGTGAAATGGTACCGTATATCTTTCCCGCTTCTTGATCCTTGCAAATTTCGCTCTGTTGGTATGTCTTCGAGGTTTATGATTTCTAAGACATCGCCGATATTAAAACCATCTCGCATTCGTACTAAATTATGCAAGATACAACATGCTTTAACAATGTCAATGGCGAATTCGGAATATACGTTTATAGGTCGATGAAAGATTCTCCATTTGTTGCTAAAAATACCGGATCCACATTCAACATAACGCCTGACACGTGATAAACGGTAATTAAATACACGTTGTTGCTGTGTCAAATGTTGCAACAGACATCCTAAAGTAATTGAAAAATTTTGCTTCATGCTCTCGTAGTCTTGTAAACAAGGTATAAAATGATCCTACTGCACTTCTTTCAGCTACCAGTGGATGAATCCATAATTTTCTTGCTAAAGCTTTCTTGTATTTTCTTTGTCTATACAATAAACACACAAGCGCGATCTTCTTTTCACGTTTCATGTTTGACAATGCACGAAACGAAAATAGCCAAGCTCTTTCTACGTCGGATGACAGTACAGCACTGGCCTTCATGCAGAAGGCAAAGTAAACGGCACGTAACCGGCCGATCGCTTATCGTGTGTAAGATAATCCCGATTTCTTTGCCGGGCGGAGAAACAACCGGTCGGCGGAATGATCGGTCGTGTGCAAGAGGCCTTAGGCGTCGGCAACGCATTGGAACGTGTTTCGTTGAGCGATCGCATATTGTGTCTTTTTATAAGAATTGTTGTGTGATTGTTATTGTTGTGGTTTCTGTGGTTACTGTTTTGGTTATACATAACCATGGAGAGTACAAATGGCATGAGTGGAAGTACTGAAAGTCAGGGAACAAGTAGACGGCTTCGTAAAGTACTGAAGAGGGACGCGAAAGAAACCATGCTCAACGTGTTCAATTATCTGAACAGAACTATGTCGCAGGGAGATGCACTCGCGCGTTGTGAAACTATGACAGGCGTTCCAGAGTGGACCATTCGCAGGGTGGTGCATGAAAAGAAGAAAACTGGAGCTACTACTGATCCAAAGTTTAATTTGAAGGGACGAAAGGCCGTTAAGTTGGATGACGATAGCAAAATGGCGTTAAGACGAACCGTACATTCATTCTTCTTTAAGAATGAGATACCAACCCCCAAGGCTGTACATGCAGCGATCAAGGAAAGTGAAATTATACCCCAAATGAGCGTCGAGGTTATGAGGAAATCCCTGCACGAAATTAATTTTCGTTACGAAACGCGTAATCGGAAGTCAGTATTGATAGAGAGACTTGAAATAGTCGCCTGGCGTCGAAAATACCTACGCGAAATAATTGAATATAGGCGACAAAGCAGAAAAATTTATTATTTGGACGAGACATGAGTAAATTCAGGTCACACAGTTAAAAAACCTGGATAGACAAAAACGTAGTGAGTAACTGACAAGCAAGCATTGAAGGTTTGTCAACAGGTCTTCGCGGACCGTCAGGGAAAGGTCAAAGATTGATCGTAACTCATATTGGCAGCGATAGTGGCTTTTTAGAAGAGTGTGACTTGATTTTAGTCTCTAAGAAAGGTGGTTATTATCATGACGAAATGAATGCCAGCTGCTTCGAGAGCTGGTTTCAAGGGGTGCTTCAGCGAGTAGAGCTCAACTCTATGATCGTCATGGATAATGCTTCCTACCATAGTCGTCGAGCCGAACGTGTACCGACTATGGGATCTCGAAAAAGTGACATGCAGCAATGGTTGCGCGAAAAAGGAATCCCGTTTGACGATTCATGTGTGAAAGAGGAATTGTATGAAAAAATTCAACCGCACAAACCTGCGAACATTAGTTACGTGACTGATGAGATGGCCCGTCAATGTGGTGTCACTGTGCTGCGGTTACCGCCCTACCACTGTGAACTGAGCCCAATAGAGCTCATCTGGGCTCAAGTGAAGGGTTATATTGCGCGCCATAACACAACCTTCAAATTACCAGACGTTAAGGTTTTACTTGAGACTTCCATACCGCTAGTAACGCCCGAAGCTTGGCAGAATGCTATCCGTCATGTTGTGAAGGAAGAAACAAAAATGTCGCAGCTTGACCACCACATCGACACCATCATAGAGCCAGTTATAGTCAATTTCAACGAGGAAAGCAATAGCGACAGTTTATTACTGTCAGATGTAAGTGGCAGCGACGATGAATAAAGGTAATTCCTAAATTTTAGACTTACAATATGTTTTAAACCACTCTTTATTAAGCATGTGACAACTCTAGTTCACCCATGTTAAACATTCATACCCCGCCTATGAACAGCCGACTACTGGTAGTTAAGTGATGTTCACGTGAACATCGATGAGTCATTACAGTTTTAGATAGTTATAGTATAGTGGGAGAAGTGCCGTTTCAGTTAGCAAGATGGTTTGGAACGTTGAGCATCGTGTGTTCACTGTACGTCGGTACTTTCAACATGGCGAGTCTGTCGTTCGAATGCAACGTGAGTTTCGCGTTCACTTTCGTGTTCCACGTCGTTGGACAGCTCCAGATCGTAACAACATATTGAGATGAGTGGAGGCATTAAACACAACAGGTGATGTGATGGAGAAAAAACCGCCAGGGCGAAACCGTACTGTTAGAACCACCGAAAACGTAGACAGAGTGAGAGTTGACACGCTGCAAAGCCCGAATTGTTCCACCCGTTTGCGTGCCAGTTCCCTAGGGATCCACATGTCCTCTGTACGTCGCATCTTGAAGAAGGATTTAGTGTTCCATCCTTACAAAATCCAAGTTTGTGAACAACTGTTGCCAGGGGATTATGAACAACGTGTTAATTTTGCACAGCTTATGATGGAACAATTGGATAACAATGACATGCCGTTGTTTATGAGTGATGAAGCACATTTTCATTTACATGGATACGTTAATAAACAAAATTTTCGATATTGGTCTCTAGTGAACCTCCAATAGTTGCATGAGCACCCCCTGCATACCCCAAAAGTTACAGTTTGGTGTGCAGTAGGCCCAACGATGATTATTGGCCCTTATTTTTTAGAGGATGATGGAGAAAGAACTACTGTTCAAAGTGTTACATCCACATGCTGAGCAACTTTTTTTTCTCCGGAACTTCGACGTCAACGTGTCCATCTCAGAACAGTGTGGTTCCAATAAGACGGGGCAACATCTCACACAGGTCGCACTTCGATGGAACTTCTTCGGCAAAAATTCCCAGGACGTCTCATTTCACGTCATGGCGATATTCTAAGGCCCCCTCGATCCCCGGACCTGTCAACGTGTGATTTTTTTATGGGGCTACCTGAAATCAAAAGTTTACCAAAGCAAGCCTCAGACTTTCGTCGGCTTGAAGGAGGAAAAAAGAAGAGAAGTAACTCAAATTTCTGCACGGTTGCTGGCCGACGTAATGGGCTCATTTCGTGAGAGTCTTGATACCTGCATTTCGGCCGTCATATGACCGACATAGTTTTTAAAACGTAAATTTTGTTTTACTCAAAAAATGGCATGTATTTCTGAGTTTTTTGATATAATAAAATATTTTTCACATATATATTTTGATTGTACTACTCATTTAAAGAACATGCGTTCTTTCTGATGGACACTCTACAAACAAGCAACAATTTATAAATTATATTGATACATATAACTTTCATATAATTACTACTGTTGTATACTTAACTTTGTGTAATAATATAATTGTACGTTATAGGTTCAACAGCACCAATGTGAGGGGCTAAAACGTTCGAAGTCCGTAGCCAGCAGGCAAAATTCGGTAAACATTCTCTTTTATAGATTTGATAGGTGCGTTTTCTCTGAAGCACTTCCATAGTCCATATCGCGTTTCCCAGTCTTCGAAGAACAAGTCGGGCTTGTTCCACAGAATATGGTGTTGAGCATACTCATAATGAGCTCTTAAAGGCGGATTAAGATGCGGAGCCCATTCTGCTCTCCTTTTCATAACTGTGTTCACATAGTCATAAAACACTGTCGCCTTGAATACGTTACATATTAAAGTCATTATCGACAGAACGAATGCATGGATGTGGTGAGACCGAACAAGATCTTGTGCGGAGATACAAAGAGCAAACTCTTGTATAGCCATGGCAATCGAAACATGGCACGATGCGACATATCCACAGGGCAGTTCTGCTATAGTGAGCGCCATCGCTTGATAAATATCTTCCAGTTCAAGTCTGTTAGAAGCATGTATTAAAGCAAACAAGGTTACTTTGAATATGAAATGCCTGATCGATCTGTAGAACAGCTTGTCTTGTTTGCGGCATGTTCCTAAAGATATAGGGTAGTAACAGTGCTGGAAGTAGATTTTTGGTGTGAGAAATTGATACGCGTTATTATGAACGTCCATTAAATTTTTCCATATGATTATGCACAAGTGATTGATTGTGGGGACATTGGAAGAAAGTAGCCCAAACAATAATGGAGTTGGGCCCTTTGAAGAAAAAGGTCTCTTTGCTTTTGCTCTATACTTTCTCGCGGCGTAGTTAGCTATGAATCCAAACGCAACCACAACTTCTTCTTCGGGCTTGGGAACTGCAAGTCTCATGAAGATGGTTCGAAGGAATCTCAGTAGGTCCTTTTTCCCCAAGTTGCCTATTATATTCCTTATACAGATCTCTAGCCCCTTTCTCAATGGGGTATAGTTGTAGCTATCTGTCGGTTTTGGAACTACACTGCTTTCGTACATCAACACAATCCTCTTCATCAACCTTTCTGACATTTTATGCCATTTCACCTTCTTCAGAATATCAAATAGCACTTGGATCAGCTGTTTTGCTTCGTAGATGTTCATCAAGGTGCACGCTTCTGTGGTATGCAATATATCCTCAATGCCTGAAGCAAATAGAGGAAAACAGGTTGAAATGACGCATCCAGCGAAGTGCTCTCCAGATTAGGAGTAACTCCGGAGGTTCCGACTATAACTACATCTCATATCAAATTTGGGAGTTAAACATACCTTATGCGTTGATTAAGGAAATTATAACAATGGAAGTTACACAAAGTATTCCATTCCCCATCACAGTATTTCTACACAAAGCTATAAACAAATGTTTGTGTGGCAATAGTTGTCACAGCAAGTTGGCTGAGTTTCTTAATTGAATGTCAATAATTAAGGAAGCGATTTCTTGGTCTATATTAAGAAAGCTCCAGAAGAAAATATGAACCTAAACGTCCTAACTTATGAGGTACAGGGTGTAAAGTTTCCAAAAGCAAATCACTTATTAGTAATATATGGCCAATGAAATACATATCGCTCTCAAAACAATACAAAATACTAGTCCAAACAAGAATATGATTATGGATTTATCCTTAGAATCAAAATCCATTAGTATATAGATGCTGAAACATTGTACATGCCTCTATGTAAAGCCCACATATAATAATAGTAACAATAATAATAATAATAAATCGTCCTCATTTAGGAGGCGAAGTTTAGCATAATGCTATTCTGGGACTTAACCTCAAAAGAGAAAACCTGAAACAATACAAAAAAACATATAAACATTTAACAGGTTACAATTTAAACTGTAGGTGTATAAAATTTGATGTATATAACATATAAGTAAAGGATATTCAATATTTCAAGAATTAAAAGTATAAATTGTAACAGTTATACGAACAAAGGAATGTTATATTGGAATACTTTTGTGAGGTAACAGATAAATTTTATCTACTGATTTATATACTTCTATTCAAAATAAATTTATTCATACGTCTCTCAAATTCGTCATATTTTAGCAATTTTGTGCATCAAGGTATACCATTGTAAAAAATTGCGTTTTAGGTGAAGCATTTAGGAAATAATGACGTCCTGTGAAGGGTGAAGGGGCATTGTGAGTGTTACAGCGAAACGAATGTCCCTAGAATGAATATGGCTTCAAGATATCAGCCTATTTCTAAAAACGGCGGAATGTATGATAGCAAAAGTCTGTGGGTGTAAGTCGCTAAGTGTAACTCACACAGTTCGTGTACTCTGGACTACTTCATGTCTTTGAGAAAAGGGCTGATATGATCATATTCATTCAAATTATTGATCAACCTACAACATGAGTTTTGGATTTTCTGAAGACGTATTAGAGATATTGAGTCAATAAATGGCAGACAAACTAAATCGCAATAACTAATTTTGTATATCAACAAAAATTCAACAAAATTTTTTTAGTTGTAAAGTCAGATATAGCCACCAGTATGTATGAATGTGACGATTTTCGTACATTTTTGTAATATTGATTTTATATTCATGTTATTTTTACTATATTTTGCTCTTCGATTTTTACTTAAGAGAGACATTGAACCTCTTCAGATTTATTTATTGTTTTTGAATATTTAAATTTCGTGAAGACTCATCCTTTTGTAAGTGTCAGGTATCAATACTTTTCTAATGTGTGCATCTTGATGATTTGTAAATGTACTATTTTTTTTTGTTTTAATTTTCTCAACGCCTTTTTCTAATTTTCACTTTTTCATGCTTTAAGCATAGTTATAGCTTCATCACATTTTTAACTTTGATACCATTTCAAATAAACAAATAACAAAGCCAATTTATGATTCAATCGTCAGTTGTTTCGCCAGTGACCCTATCGAAAACATCAGTGCGTGAATGAGCGATGACTAGAAGCTTCCAACGTATAAATTACGACCATGATGACAAATGTGATCAAAATAGGATCATTTCCACACAACATTTCTCTTTCATGGCAGTGCTTTAATTTGTCATTGTTGCACCTGTACTGGCAACTAGTTATTTCAAAGCTGTATTTTTGGCAAATAAATTATTTTTATCTGAAATACACACTTTACATATTTTGATGAAATCTGGCATACATGAAATATATTTAAAGAGGAAATTTTTATGTACCACAGTTTTTCCCATCAGTGAAGATCGTATGAAATTCCAACTGCCTATTTTGGCAGACGTTGTTGGGGCGCCACTAATTTCTGAAGTATTCTTGAAATCCCCAGGCATTTCTAAGCAAACTCAGTTGCTTGATTTTTTCAATTCGATGCACGGTTTTCTTTAAAAAATATAAGAGCCTGTTCTCTGCACAACCATAATAATATCGTTCGTATGAAAATATAACCATGCAGAGAAATATAATTCATTTTGTCGAACTGAAAAAATGGAATCTCTTAAGTGAAACTGGCGAAAAAATAGTGTGACACATTAAAAAATGTATCTTAATACATTCATGCCAAATCCAAGGTGGTATTTTTGAAAAGTTCACCACCCTGTATCTCAAAAGTCAAGACGTTTAGGGCACACGTTCATATAAAATGTTCTTCTTAGAAAAGAACCAAAAAAATCACCCACTTAAGTCATGACATCCAATTGGGAAACAACCTGTATAGTTTCTATGGTTGCTGATTTCTTGTTCCTAAGTTTGATTAAGGGAGTCGCAGTCATATTTTGAAATTCAAGACACTTTCCGCCATTGCGTCAGGGTTAGTGGATTTCTTCCTAACCTTATACATGGATAAAATCACTGACGTCCTGGCTACAGGTCAAGAAGTATGACATCGCATGATAAATACTGACAAGTTACAATAATAACACACTGATCGTGTGAAATTCGCCTGCCGACAAGGTTTCGGAGGAATACCATAATTGTTATTTAGACTTAGACTGTATAATCATGATGTTGATTTTCGCAAACAAATATTTTTATGGAAATGGTCAAAGATAAGCCTAAACAACCAAAAGTTCAATCGGGAGGAATTACACAGGGTGTTATAAAACTTAGGACTCCCCTTTTCAGGAACACCTACAATTGAAGTGACGCCAATGCCTGATGGAACAGCAGCGAAAGGTAAAAAATTGAATCTGCGCGACACGAACCGCTAGGAAAATGAGTTTCATATACTCACAAAGCATTGGCAGAATTATGAAGGACCTCATCGTAAACTAATACCATATATATGGTCCAGAAAATCCAGAAAAAGTTTTTAAAATATCTGTATTGGCGCATATCCTCCATGCAACTATCCAAAGAATGATCTTTTAGATCATTTTGGTAAGACCAATCTGGAACACCGAAGATTTTTGTTAAGCTGCTGCTTTGTGCACAAATTGCTAAGCAATCAGGTGCACTGTGGTGAAATAACTTTACTATGCTTACGTTGAATAATATAGTAGTAGTAACTTTGTACTTTGATTCTTCGATCGAGTCGGTGTAATTATTTTGAAATGTTTGCACCCACATTCTCCTTTAAAGTACCGATTATTACTTCATTATGACGCCAGATTTGCCAGATTTACGAAGCATCTCAATCAGTTTATAATTACTTTTTTTAGCTCACCTTCTTCAGCATTTCTATAAACTTCCAACAGCCGTATTACTAACTCCGTGCAAGGAAACTCCACCTCCCACAATCTTCCTTCCTTATAAAACGTAATCACAGCATTCAGTATGATGCGATGCATGACTCGTTTAAAGAGCCTGATCATCTTATTGAACTGTTTCATGACCCTGTGCAACTTCCTTCTTCGAGCCCAATATATTAAGCCTGTTGAGAACGTTTTCAACCTCAACTGGAAGTGGTGGATGCAGCACATGATTGACCAGATTATGTGGATGACATGTGGGATGGTGATTTGCTGTGGTTTAGCCCTCTTTATGATTTCGTCCAGTAACTGGATGCCAAGCACTCTTCGCAAGTGTAATTCGTGTAAGTCTCTTACCTAGCAGAAGGAAAGTAGGAATTAAATCGGCAGTCGTATTATGTAAAATAACCTCAAGCGATCTTATCGCAATACTTGCCACTTGTACGAGGGATGTCTTTTAAGTTTTGCATATGGAAATAAAACAACACGGTAGGTAGTTTTAAATGACTTTATTGTTTTTCGAAGTATTCTCCACGAAGATTAATATACATCTGCATGCGTTCGAACCAATTTTCGAAGCACTTATTCCACTCGTTTGCTGGCAGATCCAAAACGGCATTTTTGAATGCGTCAACTGCTTCTTCTGGTGACTGGAACCTTTGACCACGCAGTCTGTTTTTAATTTTTGGGAAAGTAAAGAAATCGTTAGGACTTAGATCGGGACTATGTATTGGATGGTCCAATAATTCCACGTTTTCTTCCGTTAAATACTGCCTTGTTTTTTGGGCTGTGTGCGAGCTTGCGTTGTCTTGGTGGAGGATGATTCTTCTTTCGGGGTTGATTTTTCGAAGCTCGGTGGTGACTTTTGGCAAACAAATGGTGTTATACCGATCGGCAATAACAGTTCTTTGCTCATTAAGAGCAATTGTTGCAATATCACCCGCATTTGACACAAATGTCGCGACCAACTTTTTCGAAACACTTCGAGAACGGCTGACTTTTGTTGGCTTTTCTTCACCTTGGAACACCCAAATAGCCGGCTGTCGTTTATTTTCTGGTTCATAACAGTAAATCCACGATTCATCACCGCTAACAATGCTGTACACATTTTTTGAGTTTCCGGAATTGAAACGGTCAAGCGTTTTTTGACACCAATGAACCCTGGCTGCTTTCTGCTCTTCAGTCAACAGGTGGGGTATCCAACGAGAAACTAATTTTCTTACTACTAATTCTTCATGTAAAATTTTTTGAATTGAGATCTTCAAGGACGCCTCAATCTCGCGATATGTCACATGTCTATCTTCAATGATGAGTTTGCGCACAGCATCAACGTTTTCCTGGGTGACTGCCGTTTTTGGTGCACCCACCCTGAGATCGTCGCTAAGACTCACCCGTCTACGTTTGAATTCTCCATACCAACGGGAAATTGTCGACTGATGTGGCGCTTCGTTGCTGAAAACAGACAGTAACTCAGCAAAGCATTCTTGTTGCGATAATTGTCTCTGAAAGTTGTAATAAATTATTGCGCGAAAATGATCTCGGTTGAGTTCCATTTTTCTAATGACTTGATGACACTTAAAAATTCACTGTAGTGAGAACACTGCACGTATTGTTGTGAAACTTTGAATTTAAGTTTACTAAAGAGTGAGGTTAAGATTCAGTATTGGCGTTCGATCCGCGCGGCCTACTATGTTTCTATATGCAAAAATTAAAAGACATCCCTCGTATACCTGCTTATCGCCAACCTAACCCACATGTGCTGGCTATGGACGCTACCTAGGGAGGAATGGCATAACGACTTACAGTATAGAACCACCGACCACTAAAAAACATAGACCTCTTGATTCAGTGAGTGTGGTTGTAACACAGCCTAAAAATGGCCGACTTTGCGGTACACATTATGAGGATCGGTATTCGAGGTTGGAGTCGGATTCGACAATACATTTCATTTTTGAATATTGTTCAGTGGCGGGTTTAAGGAAAATGGCCCGGTCGGCAATTCTTCCAGAGGGCCCACTTGATCGGTATATTATATAAAGGTTGCTTTATTTGATACGGTAAAACATAATCATGCAACTATAAATCATCGTCTGTTTCTTTCAATGGGAGAAATGCTACTTCTCAATAAGGCATTACGGTCAGTAATGACGATTTCATGAGTTAGTAGTGAAAATGAATTAGTTCATAATTATGCCAGATCAGGCAGCTTTTATTTAAATAGGAAAAAGAAAAGAAAACCATCAACTGTACAAGCACTACTAATCTAAAAGCTCAAATTGACGTCACTGATTTCTCAAAAATGAATGTATCTTGTTGCTACTGCTTGGATTTGATTTTATTTATAGTATAAATATGAACAGTTCAGAAGTATGGAAGGATCAATAGGTATAAAGACAAAATTGTAGCACATTATGTTGCACAAAAGTATGCATTGCATGGAAGATTTTAGGTTTGGATTAATTTGATGAACGATTAAAAATAATGTACCCATAACTTGAATGTAACTAAAAAGGGGCATGGTATGCTGTCCATAAAAAAAAATAATTAAATTACTTAATATGTACTGTACTATATTATAGTAAGCATTTTGCAATAATCGGGATCGAAAAGTTCCAACTTGAGGTTGGGAACTGGGAACCGAAAATAACAGAAAAATAAACCTATACTAACGCAAGATATTCTACTACTTTATGGGGGGTACAATTTTACATAAATAGCAATGCCACCATTATTAATTTCACGCAGATGACAAAAAATCATTTCGAATAAAAATAAAGAAAATTCAAATAGCAAGTTGCTTCTTCAACGCGAAAACTCGCATGATATATTCGAAATACGGATAAAGCGCAACTTATAGGATAACTACTTATGCGACATTGTCAGTTGTTGCAGCTTCAGAGTCGAACAACAGGTTGTCTTATGGAATTTTTGTTAAAAAGTAACCCAATAACAAAATATGTTTTCTCATCGTGTGGTGGAACATAATAAGGTACCCGGGGGTAATAAGGCCTACCAGATATTAAGGCCCAACGCTGGTTTGCCCAAAGGAAAGCACCTAAAATATTTATATCGCCATCTGTTAATAATATTTAGTATTACTGCTGCCGGAAATCTAATTTTGTTCTATGGTTATGAGCTTCCTGGCTTGTTCTATGGTGTCACGTTTCGCTGTGCTGTATTTTATAAGAATTTCGACCGGTAAGTAAGCAAATTAAATTGTTTTAATAATACGTAGATTTTTCATTATGTATCCATGATAATCTATGTATCTGATAGTTTCATTTTACGTAGCGTTTCTTTTTATGTTGGGTTTGTTTGTTGTTTAATAACCTGAAAATTAATTTTGTTGTGCTACAGGTTATACGGCCCGGGCCTTATTTTCTACAATGCATTGAAAAAGGCTTGGGCTTTATTTTCTGCCGCCATGAATACACGTATTCATTAGATTTATTTATTCTTTTACAGAAGATGGGTAAAAAAAGCAGAGAGATAAGGGCAAATTGGGATGAAGAGATGATGAGAGAGGCATTAAATTATATTAACGAGGGAAAATCTCAGCGCTGGGTGGAACAAAAATGCGGAATACCCAGACGAACACTTAGGAACCACATTAAATCACAAAGCGTGAAGAGAAAACTAGGTAGACAAACAATTTTGACCGATAATGAAGAGACTGACCTTGAGAATAAAATAATTCAGCTAGCCGATAACGGTTTTCCGCTAACACCAAAAGCATTAAGAAGGTCTGTGTTCAGGTATGTTGAGCAAAAGAAAATTAAGCATTGTTTCAATCAGGAAACTCGTCTCGCTGGTAGGGAGTGGGTAAGGACTTTTCTGAAAAATCATATCAAAACGTCGATCTCAATTCATGAATCCAGCAAGAGCCCAAAAATTAAATCGTTTTATCGTAGAAGATCATTTCAAAAAACTAGGAGATTTGTTGGAGCGCACTCAGTTAAAAAATAAAGAAGCAAAAGTTTATAATATGGACAAGAAGGGTTGCCGCTTGACTCTTCACCACCAACAAAACATTCTGGCAGCCAAAGGAGCAGAACGAGTGCATGTAATTTCTCATGAACACGCCGAAAACGCAACTATCGTCGCTTGCGCTAATGCTCTCGGACATGCCATACCGCCTGTCATTCTTTTTAACGGCAAGAGAATGAAGCCAACCTACTCAGATGGCTTACCGGCTGGCTCAAAAGTTATGATGACGCCTAAAGGGAGCCCAGAAGACAATTTTTTTAATGTTCGCGTCTCGACATATAAGCATGATTATTTTGTGTTCAAACATTACCATTATGTTAGTTTATACCCTTTTCTATTTTTTATAACAATAAAAGTTTGAAAAAGTAAATTTCTCTCGTAGATATTAATTATAATTTCTTAGGTGGGCCTTATTACCCCCGGGTACCTTATTACTAAATACTAACAAATAAATACCTTTGCCCGTTGTTAAATGAATAATACGTACTGAACACCAACTATAGATGGGAAGCATTTTGCGCGATTTACTAGCCTCCATTGAGGGACATGCAAAATGGCAAATTTCCAAGGAGATGTGTGCAAAAGTCCGAATGTAAATAGACGTGTCTGTATTTTTTAGTAGTCGGCGTATAGAACTTATATCTTAGGCTTGAAGCTTGAATGGCCTCCGCTAGTGCCATCTAGGAAGCAGATGTTATATCACATCATAGCAATATCGACATCAAAATACATCAAATCAGGTGCACCACCAGGCTCAGTGCTGGGACCAGCATGTTTTTACATTGCATTGAAGATTTACGTGATAACTTGTACACATGCTTCAGTTTTGGCTGATTATACGCAACTAAAGAGTGATTTTAATGCCAACAATGCACACGAGTCTATGACGCTAGTAAATGCAGATGCTGATAGTATTAATGGGTACTGTACCCCTCGCAACTTACGACTAAATGTTCTGCCATATTATTTGGCAATAAAGTTATGCGAAATTAATGAGCCTTTAATTCACATCAGAGTTAATAGCGAGGGAAAAGTAAAAAAATTGGGCATCTACTTTGACTCGAACTGGCGCTTTAGCTCCCATATGAATAACGTCTCGAGAAATTGTTATGTGACCCTCAGGCTTCTGTTTGCAATACAAAAACATCAAAATTAGATTGTGTTAAAGTCTAGTTATTTATAAAACGTTATATGGTTTATCTATACCCTTATCTGACATTTATTAACACCAAACGTTTACACATAATACCGAATACCTGTGTAAGGTTTATCGCAAATCCAAGAAAGTTTGATCCTGTATCAGATTTACATAGCAACCTTGCATGTTCTAACATCTTACAAATATTCTACTCTAAACGTTACTCACAAAATCGTGCGTACATCATCACCTCACTGTCTCAGTTTTGATCTTATTCCAAGGACGTTTGTGCATAATCTTCACATTTGTTACCGTTACACCTAAACCATGCCAGTCCATCGCACAACACTCACTTGATATTTTACTTACAATTCAATTACATCTTACAACAGCTTGGGTCACGATTTTAAGACTACCCAGTCTTCCCGTAGTTTAAAAAAGAGTTAATAAGACATTTAGAAGAATTACAGAACAACAGCTAGATCTTTCGTTTTCATACTTTGTATTTTTGATCAGTTATTCTACCTTCTGTTTATAAACTATTTTTACCTCTTCCTCTTGTCACAAATGAACCGGCATTATTTTTTTGAGTTAATTTTGTACGGGGTTAGATGGTGGAATAGCAGGTGCTATATCTCGCCCCACGTAATATTCCACTTCTTTGTCAATAAAGACGGTCATTATTATTATTATTAGTAACTATTCAGCCAGAATAGGCCTCCTCATCTATACTTCAATACGAATAGTTTGGCTTCGTTAACTGATAATGACGTCATAGCATCCTGGTGAAGTAGAAAATAGTGAGTCTTAGCTAGCGTATAAGACTTACACTCTGTAAGCAGCATTTATATAGCTTCATTGCGACGGTATTAAATTCCTCCGGTGACATGTCGTATTGTATACCAAGCAAGGTTGCTAGTTGCTGTTTAAAAGTCTTTTTGTGCTTGAGGTCCTCCAGCTTGGTGTCCGATAAACATATGTTTATGTCGTCTTGTTCTTGATCTTCGGCATCCTCCTCATCCATTCTGAGACTGAAGAAAAAATAAGGTGAACAAGCCTGCTAAAGTAAAAGGTGTAGTTAGTTAGTATATTTTCAGTCCAGAAACGGTTCTAGATCCAAATATGTCCTATATACGCAAAGCATTTCGCTCATTTCAACACCCCATGGTAGACCCCAGTCAACAGCTGGAAAAAGAGAATTTCTATACCGTTTTAACGCTGCCATTCACTATAGCAGGATTCTTTGGGTTGCGGATTTCAAATCTGGGCTCAATTTGTCCTTATGATGACACTTGAAGGATACTTCAAGGTCATATCAACGACACTTTTAGAAGAAGCCGATCAGTTGTGCCCAACCACATGTCGTTTTGGTTGTTATGGTCACTGAGTCCAAATCGCAGATTAGCAAGTCATTACAAATGGGCTTAGAGGTCATTTCAAGGTCATGGTGAGGACAAATTCAAAATAAGTTAAGCAGTCCTGTACAAACGCGCGTCTTACATGTTTTTGTGGTTGTTGGAGTTCAAATCAAAGATCAGTTTTCCTCTAGGAATGCATTTGAGAGTCATTTCAAGGTAAATTAATTCTGACATCCCGCCAATATGGCAAGGTAGCAAGGACTGACTCTAGATTTTATCCAGTACTACTTCAAAGCAGCGGTCGTACTGGCCAGTTCTGGGTGTACGTTCGACAAGATTAGGTTGTGAGGAAGCCAGGAGCAAATCCCGTTGACATAGCGGTAGAAGACAGCCAGTGACTGACGTCATACTCACGAAAACCCCTCAGTCATTTGCCATTCATCACACATCCCACCACGGTAATGCTTGCAGCATTTCTTCGTGTGTAGCATTACGCTAGGTTTACATACCGAATGTACCAGTCATCTACTCTCCTCCTGACCGACTACTGGTATGTAATGGTACACTGATGGTAAATTAAAATATCAATACATTATTTCAAAAATATCCAAAAAGAGTTAGTTTTATAGGATTTCGCATAGCCTAAGTGTCTCTTTCAAAAAAATTGTGTACAGCAGTCATTCCTCATCATTTGTTATATTTTGCGAGTATTTTGTTCACTGCAAACGGAACTACCATATATCTTCAAAATTACAAGTATCACAAAATAAAGCTATGAGAATCGTTTTAAAAAACAATAAATGTTCTTGAATAAATTCTATGCAATGGTTAAATATAAAAAATTCCATAATCTACTTGGCTTTCATTTTCACCTTCAGGTTAAAAAATCATCTGTCACCAAATTATTTCAATTTTTTCATTGAATTGAACAATGAGTACCACAGTTATTTAACTAAAGGAAGGATAGTCTTTCGTTTACAAAATTATAGTAGCAATATAACAAACAAATCAGGATTTCAAAAGGATTGTACGAACTTATTAAATCAAGTAATGATATCAGGATGTGTACCAGTTTGAAAATTTTCAAAAAGAAATTAAAAAAAATAGACTTAAAGACATCAAATATTACGTTATTGTGTAACACTGGTATTGTAGCGTTGATAATGGTGAATCTACAACAAACAAACAAGCTACTGAGTACGAGTTAGTAAACCAATACAAATTGCATGCCTGCTTGTTGCACTTGAATCCCATTGTGAGACTTAAGCCAGACCTATGTAAATACGATACAAATGTGCCTTCCTTGATTTCTTCCCCGGCGCTACTTTGTACAGCTCAGACAGATTCTAATAGCGTCTCTTTAGATACTATTGGTTTGCATATAGCAGAGTAGCAAGAACGCTCGTTAGACGCTAATAAATTCATTCGCATCCTAGTTTTGGACTGCAAATGTAAACCGGCTAATCATTTACTGATGTTACGCCTTGACCTGACAAGTGTTAAGCCGTAAAAACTTTAATTTGTCATATATGATACAATCAGTTATCATTGTTGGTTAGATTAAATGGAAATGTATTCTAAAATCATATTATGTTTACGTTATTACCTGTAGTTATCCGTGTTCGCCACTATATTATACTGTGGACTGCTCAGATCATCCAGTGGCCTTTCTAGAGCAACTGATGTTCTTTCTATGCTGGCTCGCGATCCTACCATGCTGTTTTTCCCGCTTCCAGGTTGAGATCTTACCAAATCATTCCGATCAACTTTAATGTCTTGAATCCGGTTTTGACTGGGACCTGGTGATCCAACGTTATAGCCCGTTGTTCTCTGCCTTACTTCAATTTCAGATTCCGTTCTAGAAGGACTGTTAACAATTTGGTGTAAGTTGCAGAAAAATATTTCCAGGTGAATAGCATACCACCAAAAAGTAAGCGGAAGCTTGAAATACGGTTTTTTGCAAACCACTTGGACAATTAGAATTTTTTTACGTTTTATGATGTTGAAAATACAAAATATTGGGGGTGCTGCCTATAATACACAATATTCTAGTGCTTGGACAGAGAAGAGTTTTCAAGATAGTTGGATCTTTCGCTAATGTATATTAGCTTCTTGAAAAAACAAGAATCCTATTTTTGACTGACCGTTGAAAATCCCAAGATTGCGACTAGGTGCTAGTATGGGCGTTTACTTGCATACCTTAAAAGTGTCTGAGTTTGGATGTAGACATAATGTACGCAATGTATACAATATTATATAATGGCGTAGTCAATGCATAGAACAACATAATACGTTCACTCGCAAACGCCAAAATATTGGTAACTGACAACTATTTTTTGGTTCGGCTGCCAAAAGATACAAAAAGGTAAAAAGAAGAAACTTGTAAAAAATGGCTGCAACTACGATGCAACAAGCAAATGTTAGTATTTAACAAAACAGCGAGAAGTAGACCCGAAAGCTCTGAGTTGGCGGAACTTAGAGAAATGTGTAACAAAATGTTATGGCATCAACTAATGCTGGAGATTCTAAGAAAGCATGTCTATTACTCTTTACGATTGACTGAAAACCGCTGTGTCAATACTCTGAATACAGTTAGTCAAAATGGTGGATTTTGTTTCCAGAATATATTTCATTTCATAAATATTCCTAATTTATGGAAAACCGTAACTTTGTATAATATAAAAATATAAATAATAAATATACATACTTCACTATCTAATTATTCAAAAATCACTTATACGATTCGTCATTTGCTTGCCTAGGCACTCCATTGGACCTTTGCGCAGTAGTCACTGTGTAATGTTTTCCTATTCTTCATTGTCCGTCAGAGCGGTCCGTAGGACCTTTGCTCTTAGTTAAAGTATTGTTGGTCACTAGGTCTGCCAGGTCTGGTTGCCCAGATACCAGACAATGTAAGGAAGAACTGTCTAATGTACGGTGCTCGAATCAGTCCTGCCCACAAACCAGACAATGTCAAGGAAAAAGAGATTAAAAGACTAAAATAGCAAAGAAAATAGAAGTGTATCAGTTTAAGAGCAAGCATCAAGGTTTTTTGACTTAGTACAGATTAATTTGTAATTAACTACAAACAATTTTTGATTCAGGTTTTGTCAGAGGTTAATTTTGGGTTTACTAAAAGATTGCGCTAATTTCTGATCTCACTGAGTCACGGAACAAAGGGTTGCTGTGCGACTCCGCTTGCCTATAACGCGCTGCGCCTGAAGCCTGACATAATCCGTCAAGTAAGGAATGTGAAGGTCTCTGCGTAGTGTCACATTTGAGACCTACCAAATATAGTGCGTTGCAAATTGTTCGTATTATATATTTGCAATACTTGTGTCTTGGAATGAAAAGATCAAGCCGCACATGCATAATTGTTGATTGGTCTAATAATCATTCTTTATGGTCGAATAGTTTCTAAGATACTGTACGTATATCATTGTTTTTCCGTTTTAGCTCATTATCAAATTACCTGATCAACTCACTGCTTTTTGCATTTCCCACCAAATTTCGACTACTCCTTACATATCTTAGCTCCGGCCTGGTTTTTGCTTTACCTGTGTAAAAATGCAAATTATCAAAACTATGTTTCTTCACACACAATGCTCTTACTTTCCAATATATTCATACCTTTGGATTCGCTTTCAGACATTTTTGAATGCACTTTTTAGTCTTGCGTCTTTAATGCAACGAGGACACCTTTTTGCCTGCCGTCTTACTCGTTACTCACGTTTCTGCAGCGATGATAAAAAACGATATTCTGAAAGATGCGTGACAACGTCACCTATGAACGTCAGTCGTCTTTAAATTTAAGAACCCTGTCAATATAGAGGTTCCTTAGGGACAAGTTCGTATGCTCGTTCGCAGCTCTCGGCCCAAGGACTTTTCACATGATCTGTCGACTATCTCATCGTACCGGGCAGTTTCCAAACTAGAGAACTCAGTCGAGTTGGAATGTTAAGGATACAACTTTTGCAAGGGGATAACAGGATCATGCAGGGTATCCAATAAGCACCACGACAAACTTAAGGAGAAGGTATGCTTTGGACTGAACTCCCAAATAAAAACTTACCTATATGAAAGTGTGACCGTTTTTGAGATATTGATCTTTTTCTTAAATTTAAAAAAAAACCGAACATTTTCATCTGTGGTCTTTAGGTGAATGTACAAATAAGGTTATACTTTGTTCATTTTTTCTATAAAGTACTTCTAGGTAGTTGCTTTATCATATACAAATGCAATGTACGTAGTTATAACGGGTGATTTTTTAAGAGGTATAGGAGTTTATTTTCAGAAACAAACACAAAATATTTTAAAAAACGATTAAATCTTTATTTGAGACGATAGAACGGTCGATATAATTTAATGTTTAAAGTTTATTTCATGTAAATGTTGGCCGCAGCTCCGCTTTAGATGGCCCATGCGCAAGGTCCAATTTTGACAGACTCTCTCCAACATATCCGCCGGTAACTCACGAATAAATGCTTCAGTATTGGCTTCCAGTGCGTCAATCGTTGCTGGTTTATCCCTGTATACATTAGCCTTACATTGGCCCCACAAGAAATAGTCCAACGGCGTTAAATCACACGATCTAGGCGGCCAATTGACGGGCCCCAAACGTGAGATAAACTGTTCACCGAACTCGCCTCTCAATAGGGTCATTGTTTCGTGTGCGGTGTGGCATGTGGCACCGTCTTGTTGAAACCACATATCAGCCAAGTCCAGCTCTTCCATTTTGAGCAAAAAAAGGTTTATCATCGCATGGTAGCGCTCGCCATTCACAGTTACGTTCCGGCCATTGTCGTCTTTGAAGAAGTACGGCCCGATGATGCCACCGGCCCATAATCCACACCAAACAGTGATTTTTTTGGGATGCATTGGTAGCTGCTTCTGGCTGGTCTTCACTCCAGATGCGGCAATTTTGTTTGTTAATGTACCCATTCAACCAGAAATGAGCTTCGTCGCTGAACACAATTTTTTGATAAAAATGTGGATCTTCCTCCAACTTTGCCAGCGCCATTCACCAAATTGGAAACTTTATGGGAGGTCGTGTGGCTTCAATTCTTGCACCAGCTGTATCTTATAAGGTTTTACACCCAAATCCTGTAGCAAAATTTTCCACGTAGTGGAGTAACAGAGGGCCAATTGCTGCGAACGGCGGTGAATCGACATTTCACGGTCATCACTAACACTGGCGGATACAGCCGCAATATTTTCTTCAGTCCTCACTCTACGTCTGCATGTTGGTGGTTTAATGTCCAATAATGTAAACTGGGTTCGAAATTTAGTCGCAAGCTTCCGAATAGCTCCCTCAGTAGGCCGACCAAATTGCCCATTGGAAGCAGAGCTCGATGCACTCTCTTAACCGAGCATGAATTTTGATAGTAAAATTCAATAATTTGCAAGCGGTGTTCGTTCGTAAGTCGATTCATGGTTAAATTATAGACCAAACTGAACAAGTTTGACAATGACACAAGACACGATTCACGCGTCATCTGTCAAAAACAGTGTTGTCAAAAAGATACTAGCAAAAAAATCACCCATTATAAGATAACAAACTGCCATTGTGGAGCTAAGGAATCGTCTCCAATAGACTGGTACCAAAATGGAATATATTAGCATTTTGGAATGTCGTCCATTTTGTACTAATTGTTTATTAACATTCCAATAAAAGTTATTATTATTATTATCGTTTCAATTGATAAACGGAAATGGATGAATGGATTTTGATTCGGAAGAGGACCTTATCAAAAGCCTTAAACATAATACTGACTGCTTGGCGACCCAGGTTACAGCACTGGATACGCACATCAATAGAAATTTTCGTAGTGACAGCCGAAACGTAGACCTGAAAATCAGGATCCATTTGACGATGCTCTTTCAGAGGAGATCGTACAGTGCAACGGATATACACCAGCCAGACAAAGAAAAATAATAATAATAATAATAATAATAATAATAATAATAATAATAATTATAATAATAATAGTAATAATGTCTGGCAGGTTAGGGCACTGTTGCCGGCAATGTCAAACCCTCTACCGTAATAACAACTGGGAAAGACGGTACAGCCAGCGACCCTTTATTGCGCGCTTAGAGGTTTACCAGTTCCACAATCTGGCGCGGTCACCCATGAATGTTGATAATACTGTCGGCATGAATGGAACAGAAAAAATCCATCTTGGAAAAACTGGTACACCCATTAAAATGGAGAGAAATATGGAAACTAGCCTCGGAAACCAAAACAACGTAAACGGGACTGGCTGCTCAGTGGCCGGTGTCGCGTTCGGCAGGGGGTTTGGGGTGCCTCAGGTCGTCATCATGCGAAATCCTCACTCACCTACTGAAAATGAAAAAATAAATACAGATGGTACCCAACTTGAGATAAACTCTCAGCCTGGCCCATCTGGTATGGAAACAACATCGTCAGACTTAAATAAGAAACAAAGACAGAAATGGACGATTGAACAGTACAAAGATGTTATGCGCTGCTACTACTATGCCAAGAGTCACGAAAGAGGATCAACGGCAGAAAACACATAGATTATGGAGGAGAGAGAATCCAACATGATTCCCTCACATTAGCTCGAAAACACTGGCTAACCAAACAAGGTACATAATCAACAGTAATAAGCTAAGTACTAGTGAGATTACAAGTATAAAGGAAAAAGTAAAATTAGCAATTGCTGTATCTGAAGCAGCAACCTATAGCCCTATACCAACTCATGGGCTTCCACTACAAATAGATACTCACCATGAACAGCGCTCAAATATAACTAATACATACACACAGATCAACAATACTAGCCTATTATGTGCATTGTCAAACAGATCCAGAAATAGAGAAGAACTGGAAGACAAAATTTATGAAAAACTGAAAGAAATTAGAGGACTCACTTCAATTACACAACGAAAAGCGCTGAATAAGGTAGAAGCCACCAAGGCGCTTCAAGTAAAAATTGACAACGTGAACGTCATATACACCAGAATATCTCAAGAGCATACTCTAAGTATTCAAGACATTAATGACCTGATGTACGCTGCTGCCGCTGTAATTGCAGGTAAAGTAGAACACAGAACAAACACTGTACGAGATACAAGAGAGCCATCATGGAAGATCAGAATAAAGAAGCATATAGATGCATACAGATCGGAACTAGCAATATTACATGAATATAGGAAAGGAGTCCCCACATATAACATTCTAAAGAAAACGGAACAAATATGGCAACGCTACAACTCGTACACCAACATAGATGAACTTGAGTTAAATATAAAAATGAAAATGGAACCAAATTAACAAAGGTTAAAGCGATATACGGAACGAAGCAACTATTATTTTCACAATAAGACTTTCAACTCTGACGCAAAAAAATTCTTCAGACAAATTAATGGACAAAGGAATGTTAGCCATGAACCACCGACACCGGATGATATTGCTAGCTTTTGGAAAGGTATATACCAAAATAAAGCAAGCTTTAACAAGAATGCTGAGTAGATAAGGCAAGAAGAAAGCAAATACCAAAGTATTGAAGAACAACAGTACGTCAAGTTAACGACACCAGAAATAACCACAATACTAAAAGGCACAGATAATTGGAAAGCACCGGGACCAGATAGGTTGCAAAACTTTTGGATCAAAAAATTCTCAGCCCTTCACAGCGCAATGACAGCTGCCATTAATCACATTATTGAACATCCAGAAGATGCACCCTCATGGCTCACATCCGGAACTACAGTGCTCTTATCCAAGGGAAAGAATACGAAAGACCCCAAAAATTATCGCCCTATAACGTGCCTGAGTACAATGTACAAGATAATTACAGCAGCATTAGCTAACAGGATTAACGAACATCTACTTAACCACAACACTTACCCTGACGAGCAAAAAGGAAGCAGGAAAGGAACAAGGGGGTGTAAAGATCATCTTTTAGTCAGCAAAATGGTAGTCAGTGTGGCAAAAACACGAAGGAAAAACTTATGCATGGCCTGGATCGACTACCGTAGAGCGTTTGATAGTCTACCGCATGAATGGATTATGAAAGTACTGCAACTATATCGAGTTTGTCCAACTATACAAAGGTACATAGAATGCTCAATGAAAACATGGAAAACCGAAATGCATCTATATCACACTAAGGGATGCATAAAAACCGGACATATAGGCGTTCAGCGAGGCATATTTCAAGGCGATTCTCTCTCCCCCCTACTGTTTTGCATGTTACTAATTCCACTGACCAGTATGCTCAACAGAGAAAAAACTGATTTTGTTATGGACGCAAACAATACAGTTAATCATCTGTTATACATGGATGATCTGAAATTATTTGCCAAAAATGAGAACGATTTGCGTCGCGCTTTAATGACAGTGAAAACATTCTCGGATGATATAAATATGCAATTTGGACTGGATAAGTGTGCAACAGCAATATCCAAAAGGAGTAAACTCACTAAGGAACAGAATATAATTCTAGATAAAGCAACAACAATAATGAACATGGAGCCTGATTCTTAAGACAGAATTATGCTCCAAAAATAAAATATCTGCAATCAACTCTTTCGCTGTGCCTGTACTAAGTTACAGCTTTGGAATTGTCAATTGGCTGAAGTCAGATATTCTGAGAATTGACCGGAAAACCAGGAAGCTCCTGACAATGGCACATATACACCATCCCAAGGCTGACGTGGACAGGTTATACAGGGTGACTTTGAAGTTGAGTCATTAATTTTCAGATAATGATTGTAGAAGGAAGATAAACCAAAATATGTGTGTAAAAATAAAAAAAAAATAAAAAAAAATTTTTACCTTGTTTTATAAAGTATCCTCCCGACAAGTATTTCAGTGCGGACCTGTATTTGATCGTGAGGTCCCCTGTGAGGTCTTAAGTCACCTGATTCACAAGCCCGTTGTACTACATTAAC